ATTTTCGTACCTAATCGATTAGCAGGCGACAATCTCGTATCAGACGGCTTACTCATCAATGAAAAACAAAAGTCTCGCTACGAAAATAAGTCAATATCCCTTTTTGTTCATTGTTAAGTTTTGATAAGAATAATGAAGGAAATTCCAAGTAATGGTTGTATTTGTATAGCTTGAGAGATTGTTTTTAGTTTCTAAAAGGCTAAAGTATATATATTGCTATAATATTTTGCCCATATTGATGAGATTGTCCCCATAGTGATTTTACAGCCTCACGAATCTGAAGCTTTCCAGTCTACAAACTACACATAGCTTATGCAAACATTTCATTAAACGACATGGTGACATTCTGTAACGAAGGTATTTTCATTTATACAATCGCCTTAATCTTTAAAAAAATTTTACATGGTCGGCTTAGTGACGAAATATATCGAAATTTTACAAGGCAGAGCAGTCAAAAATTACAAGTTTGGACACAACTTGTTGACGAGACATCTTCATACATCTCAATCTGAAGCAGAAAGGTTTGACAGCAACTCAAGTGATGCGGAATTTCAAAAGACATAACATTAGAATTTCCACCCTATTAATCGTAATAGAATTTCCACTCTACTAAAGCGCTATTACATAAACTTCATAAGAGAAAAGGAAGTTAATTTTAGTGTCGTAAGTTTTCTTTAACAACCATAAATTTTGACAGTTAATTGGTGTTAAAATTACATTTTCTTGTATCAATCTCGTATAAAATGTTGTAAATGGCATGCATCTATCTTTTTCTCTAATATCTCGTGTATCTTTCACGCGTAGTCAATTCTGATTAATCAATTCAATCTGATTACTAAACTCGATATCTCGCTAGTAAATGAAATGCAAGTAATAAAACAAAGAGTGATGATATCTGCTATTTTGCATGTTAGTTATCAAATCATAAATTGTAAGAGGGCTGAATTACTGAATTGGAAATATCACAATGCTCAGGGATTGTCAAGATTTCTCATTAAAAGTTAAAATTGAACATTTGGATCTGAACCGGTACTTAAAGAAAGGCAGAGCTAATCGGGTTTTTTGTTTTATAGCAGATAAATGAAATGAATGGAGTTTTTCGTCCTACTTTTCTGCCTTACAGTAGTTAAACTGAATGTAGCTATATATGATAACTAATTAAGTCCAACACAAATAGGGTTATCTAGTCAATGTGAGATGGCCCACGCCAGCTTAAAGACAAAATCCTGGTGTGCGGTGGATTTCGATCCTTTGTCGTAACCTAGAATAATCCAACCACCAGAAATGCTGATATACGCATCACAAGCTTACTTAATCATCTGATAGCTCTGCAGGAACCCAGACTCAATAACAAAGAAAGACGATACCGTTAAAATCAGAATAAGTTGATCTTTAATAATTAATGTACTTTGAATTCCACTGAGTTTTTTTTTTGTTTTCTTATTACACAAATAACGTTTCAAATTTATAAAATAAAAATATTTGAAATGGTTTAAGGTCTGGTAGCTTTGAATCATAGGTTAATGTCTGAAAACAAAAACACTTAAAGAAGTTAACAGCAATAATATATACGATTTAAATCTGTTTTCGAAAATCTGTGAAGTGATTTTTAAGCAACGATTAACAACTGCCGAAATCTGGTACCATTTTCGCAATTGATTTGATTAACCCAAATTGCCACCCGTTGCAATCAGTTGCTTTTGTATTATTAAAGGGTAATCGTTAAATTTGGTTCATAGTCAGTGTTGACTTGAAAACAAAATTTGAAAGGACCTTAGGTGCCTTGTAGCAGTTTGGTAAAAATTCGTAAGAATGGTACATCGAAAATAATTTGAATCGAATCCACAACACCTAATCGCCTAGCTTGTTGGCAATCGAGTTGTTACTTTCCACGTATTTTTTATTCATGTATCAAAAGGAATATCTGGTTTCATTTCATAGACTCAAGTTGGAGTAATCCTGACAACATGTTTTCCAGAAAGTATTACATAACAGTCTTTGTAACATCATAGACGAAGATCAGATAATAAGAAACATTAGCCAGGTGTTATTTCATATCGTGTTTAATTTCCAGTTCCATTAGTGTTTTATCAAACTGTCCATTAATGTCCCATTACCTCTTATATTTCCTATTATAATATTGTGTCAGTGGTCTGTATACGACATTGACCATTTACATAAGTCTACATTCTTGTTATAAAACCCAAGAAAACAAAGTCATCTGTATGTAAAGAATATATTGATCTTGGAATATTCAAAGTGTACTTGAGAATCAACAAAGTCTTATCCATGTTGATTGAAACTGGAAACAAGTTGTGTACACATAAAGTCCACATAGATGTCGAAAAATTACAAAGACTACTAAGTAACAAAACCTCTTTACCTTTCGGGACTTTGGGTTCAGGTTGACCTTGTAACTGAGAGAATCTGGTTACAAGCAACTGGCTGTAGGCAACTTAAAGAAATCCAACAATCGACGGATTGAGTCGACCCGAACACAGCGAAAAAATCACAGTTATCACTAGTTTCGTCAGTCGTCACGTTCTATTTCAAGCAACTCAGTTTGACCTGACGGACCACTAACTGTTGAAATTAATCCACTAATTAACACTTAAGGTAGCAAACCATTATTATTCCAAACAGTAACTTAACGGTCCAGAACTTTTCTTTTTCGTGAATCTACATTCTGAATTGATTTAAGTGGTCTGAATCTACATAACGATGTAGATAAATTTAAAAATCCGAATGAATTGCATCACGTTTCGAAAGACAAATGAATATCATGACAAGTTTTTTTAATCACAATAACGTAAATCTACATTCTAGATCGGAATTTAATTTCACTGAATCTACATCGACGTAGAAAAATGTCATAATCCAAAGTAAAACATCGCCTATTGAAAGAAAATCATGAAAAGATTGTTTTAAAACTTAATAAAACTATGACGTAAATCTAAATTCTGAATTTATCTGAATCTACATTTTGATTTAAAAGATCAAACTGAAATAAAATACACATTGAAAATTTTAATATAAAAACTTTTCGCGAAATCGTTAAATGATCGACTTATCTCAATAACGTTTATCTACGCACATTCTAAATTCCGAATCAATTCAAATGCATGAATATACATTTGATGTAGACAAGTTTAGGAAATCAGAATGAAATGTATCACACGTTGAGAGAAAAACAAAGCCACAAACATATCTTACAATTTAAGTGTTCTCAATCTAAATTTGAAGTAGACAAATCTAAATAGTCAAAACGAAATATAATACTTGTTGAAAACCGACAAAAAAATACTTTCGTGACATTTTCTGACATGATGTAATCAAAGCATCAAGTTAACATCGCCATCGATGACAACAGAAATCTTAGAAAGGGGAGAAGCCTTTCTGATAAATACAGTGTTAAGCATTATTTACGTCCAGTAAATCGAGAAATCAGTAATCATCTTGCGGAGAATCTGTAGATAAATCGTGAAAGATGTATATTTATGATAAATAGAAATGTTTTGATCAAATAACGCCGTATTGCAAATAAATTTTGTAGGTTATCTGGTAAAACGGCCAAGCACTTAAATTTAAGGAACACTTCTTTTATTTATTTATATAATTTTTTTTTCTGTCCTGTTAGTAGTTTTGTTTTCAAGTCTGTAGAGATAAGTATGTCAAACTTTGAAATGTAAGAAATAAACGAGTGTAAAAACTTAGGTTCCTGTCTACCTGTTGTTCCTTGGCCAAACCTCTAGGCATTGATCTGTCCTGGATTATTCGTACAAATTTACATCTGCGTAAACGTGAAATATGAAGATAGGTAACTTTTTCAAGGTCACTGGAATTTCACATACCGACCGAGATTAGAACCTACGACCATCTTTTGTTCAGTGTAACCAAGCAAACAACGTCATGTGAACAGACATGGGACAATAAACCATTAATTTTTAAATTGATAAAACACCAGATGTTTTTGTATGCGAAATAAACGGAAATATACGAATTTTGAAGAATTTTTGAAAAAAAAAATTTTTTTATGGTGGTGCAGTACCATTTTTCAAAATGGCGGATAAAATTGACGTAAAAATGAAAAAATCTAAAATATTATGTCCTGATCACTGTAAACAGAGCTTGTATGGGGTCTACCATAAGGTTTTCGTGGTTGCCAGAGTCAAATATGAGCTCAAAATTTTTTTTCAATAATCCAAGGAGGCAGAAATCCAAGTAGGCGGCATAAATCCAAGATGGCGGCCAAAATTTGCGAGAAAATTAGAAATTCGATATATTGAGTCCCGATTTCTGTATACATAGCATGTATGATGTCTAACATGGGGTTTCCATGATGGCCAAAATCAAATATGGCCTCAAAAATTAATTTTGATAATCCAGGATGGCTGAAACCCAAGATGGCGGCCACACTATCATCAATTCCTACTAGTTTGGGAATGAATCAAGGATATGGCTTGTTTGGTGTCTAACACAACCATCTAATAATGAAATGCAGCCAAGAATCATTTCCCATTGATGATGTCATAGTATTGATGATGTCATGATATAACTGGTATCCATGGAGACGTTGCAGCCACCATTTTGAAAATCATTTGATTGTGCTATCTTTTTGGAAATTTTGAACTTAAACTGTACTTTTCGAGTGAGTATGACAGAGAGGAGGAGTAGTGATTTGAAGAAAACCTTTTTCGGGGAAACTTATAGAGAAGAGTCTCAATTTTTGATAAAATCCAAGCTTCAAAATGGTGTGCATGTCATTGGCAGAATGCTCTCACTGTGTAAAACTGTGCCTGGACGGAAAAACATTAGTAAAGAAGATGCAAGCTGTGTCGTCGCTGAGGAATTAAGGCAAGATTGGATCAGAAAAAATGTCTACCCAGCAGAAGAAAGGTCAGTCAGCCGAACTATTCTACGTGATTATATAATGTTCCGAGATTCCAAGGTCCAAATCAAATGAGTACGATGGGCAGCTGGCTAAGGAATACGGCGTGCGAATGACGATGGAAGACCAGGCATTCTGGTATGATAACTGCTACGGCGACTATGTAGCGACCTCAACAAGTATCATCCCGCGAAATTGGTCGAGGAATAAAAAGAGGGTGTTAGACCGTGAAGAAGCAATGAATATAAAACGATCCAAAATGAACGAAGCGGTTTCTGTTATATATTCATGTGACAATAGTGAAATTCTAATTCCTGATGATGATGTTGATGTTGATAACGATAATGACGACGACAGTGAGTATGAACATTACATGTCCGCATCAGATCTAAACAACAACTGTGATGAGTCTCATGTGACCCGATCTGTAGAAGAACCAAATAACAAAACCAAAAAACAGTTCCCATCAATTCAAATCAGATCCGGCCATAAAACAATTCACGAACCACTGATGCGCTGTCTCGTCCACTGTATCTCAAAGTATAAGGTCACTACTAATGACCTGATGGGAATCACTGTATCGATAGCCAACACGATATTTGATCAAAACTGGGAGTTGGCCGGACTTCTTGGCGACCGTGAAAATGGCAAAACGGTTAGCACTACTGAAGAAAGAAGAGCTGAAAAGAAAACGAAACGAAAAAATGCTGAAGGTTTTGGAGTCATGCAAGACACATGGAGGACCAGTAACACCGACAACGATTAACCTGCTTGACAGATTAACAGAGAGTCAACTCATCACCGAAATATGCTATATACGTCTTACAATCTGCCCAGATATACACCAAAAACGACAAATCAAATTACCAAATGGACATTTCAAATTTCAAACATTCTCCAAAGCAGAACTCAAGCAAACCATCATTACCGTTATCAAGCCCGGAAATAATGTTGTGGAGAATATTGATGAACTCGTTAAAGACGCTCTTAAATCTCATTAGTTTTGTGTTGATTGGCCTTATGGATATGAATATGAATATGAAGTGTATTGTATGTCTTGTATTAGATTTTCATTTTTACTGTTAATTTTGGTCGCCATCTTACATTTCTGCCATATTTGATTATTTGAATTTAATTTTCCCGCCAATTTTGATCACCATCTTGAATTTCTAATTTTACTGCCAATTTTGGCCGCCATTTTGGATTTCCACCATTTTGGATTATTGAAATAAAATTTTGAACTCATGGCGACCACGAAAACCCCATGTTAGACACCATGCAAGCTATGTATTCAGTGATCGGGACATACTATATACGATTTCTAATTTTCCCGCCAATTTTGGCCGCCATCTTGGAATTCCGCCATCTTGAAATTAATTTTTAAACTCATATTTGACTTTGGCGACCACGCAAACCCCATCTTAGACACCATATAGGCTATGTATATAGTGTAGGGGACATTAAGTATAAAATTCTCCATTATTTCCAACAATTTCGGCCGCCATTTTGAAAAAAGGCACTGCACCATCATAAAATTTTTATTTTTATAAAAAAATCTTTCATATTCTACATTTTCAGCCAATTTGGCATCAGAAAATACCTGGCGTTTACAAACTTATATTATTGTCCCATCCAAATTATAACTTTAAATTAAAGTGAAGTTCTTTTTCTTAAGCTTTATTCATAAAATCTATACAATACAAAAATATCACAGATTACATGTTCATTTGAAAATTAAAGTTTACGATAACACTCTACTTTCACTGTTACATGCAATATTATTATAGGAACTATTAAAAATCAAAATTGGGGACATTTTTATAAACGAAATATGGGACTCCTAAAAACAGAGATGTAAATTTGCATACACTGTTATATTTAGCAAAACTAATGTATAAATGATGGAGGTGTGAATTTACTACTTTTTTAAATAATTGGCTCAGATCAAGCTCTAAAAGAGGGTTATTGTGTATAAATTGTCGCCGTTTCATTATGGATTGGCGAGCACAAGCAAAAATTAAAATGAGAGGTAAGGAGGTTTTCTTTTTAGAGGGGTAACCAAATATCGTCCATTGTTCAAAATCTAATTGGCTATAACCTGTATCTTAAAAGTTCTAACCGACTGTACTACAGAACTTCCTAAAAAGGAAACAAAGCAGATGGCAAAGAAGACAATAACGTTTCGAAAAGTTCTGCTAACTAAACGCACGGAACAAATATATTTGAAAAATATTCTTCCTTGTAGTAAACCGAACATAGTTTAATGTCCTATCCGAACGGTGGAGGCTTTTTTCCATTTCAGCCTTCCAACCCGTGTCCCCGAGATGTGGCAATCCAGAGAGGCGCGATTATCAGACAACAAACCAAAACATATCAGATCGACAAAAAATGCGTTGAAAAGACGTCCCTAAAGAGATTTTTTATTTACAAATTCAAAGATGTTTTTCATCTTAAAACCAGTAAATCAGAAAAGAAGCTTTTCAGATTTTGACACTAATGTCATCATTGAAAAAGTAAAAGTCTTTGAAAGTGACATCCGTTCATTACCCAGCAGCCATTGATTCAATCTAAATACCTCTCCACGGTTAAATAAAGAATTAATTTTATCCAGCACTCATCATCGACTTATAGAAAGAAATATGTCTGATACGTTGCCTGAGGATGGGAAACTATCTTGTTAAGATCTATTAACTAAGTATTCTATCAAAATCCGTCCGTCGTTATCGATACAAATGAAATGAAAAGTCCATTTGAATTAACTTTGGGAGTCTACAAACATGAATATGGTGGTGAAAACTAAGTCTGAAGCTTAGTCGACTCTCTTATATCTTAAAAGAGTATTTTTCTTGATATTCACTCAATAAGCATAATAACATAGAAATAATAGTTAAGAAAACAAAAGTTTCGAAAAAAGTCAGTTACAGACAGAACCATATCAAATATAACCGAAATTCGAGATTCTTTCATTTAGACATAGCTTAGAAGTCTTTGAGAACTGAAGTAGTACAGTGAAATGAAATGGACTCAGTACTTAGTCGAGAGGCAAACAATCTCAATGAATGCAATGACTGCACAAGTCAAAACATACTATCTCTACCTTCGTCGGAATCTGGCCGTAATCCTTTCAAGGTATGCAGCAAGCAGGTAGAAGAGAGTATGCTCATAGCGAAACGAGTGAAAGGTATGTTACAATACGGAATAGGAAGGTTATATATACGACAATAAAGTAAAGTTGAATTTTGTCCCGCCACGAAATAATGTGGATAATGGGGGAGGTAGACCGTTAACTACGTTAACTACTAGCTTTCAGTCATTTTTTTAATATGACCATATTTAGATCCGATCACCCACCCCCGCTCTCAAAGAAGTATATCTATCATATCAATCAAAAAGTATTATTTGTGGTTCTATTTTCCACCCTTCAAATACCATAATTAACCATAGAGAAAGTATACTTGATAGAAATATGTCAAATCAATATTGACCACTTCGTGTCTAAATTATTGAGCTTTGATCACTCGACGAATTTCTTTTCAGGAAGTTGGAACTTGTTTTGACGGCTTTCGTGAATAACAATTACAGTAAAGGCTTCAACATCTTAAATCGTTATGTCAATTTGTTATTTTCGATGTTGTCAAAAACGTCTTTACAAGTGAAGACTTGCTAATATAAAATGTGTTTCTAAGATGGTTTTAAAATTGTGTATGATGAATTTCTTAAGATTTAATACCGACTTCAAAATGTTTAACCACACCATTAAAAACAACGAACTGAATTGCAACACAACACCAAATCCAAAACAATATATATTGGCATTACATTGGTTGCAGCTAATGAACATTTCACATGAGGAATTATATCAGTCATACAACCAAGTTTAAGAAAAGTGGTTGAAAACTTACGAATCTAACCAAATATGTCATATTAGACGCCAAGAGCATGAAACGTTGTTCTAAACTTCGAATTGATCACAACTGTCTGAATTCCTGTTTGATTTTCATGCTCTGATTACATATCTACATATTATGATTTCTAGCTCTTTTGTATTGAAAATCAAGGGCAGTAACTCCTTTATTGTTGGGATCTTCCCGAGGTTTTATGTAAAATACTTTCATTATTCGATGACAAGGGAGATAAGTATGTTCCTTATCATTACGAAACGGTTAAATTCACGCCAAAATATATCTTTATATTACAATGTGTATATACTATATAAATATCAATTCTCTCAAAATGGGAGTAAGAATCCGCTCGATCTCGAAGAACACACACACATCGGCAACGCAGACAAAAACACGCATACATACAAAAAATATTGCAAAATGTCGACAAACGAATCCAGGAAGTGCATATTAGATCACATAGAAAGTCAACGACCTAAAAATAAAATTGAGGATAAAAACCAAGAAATGAACTGTAGGCTACTCTTCTGATACGAGTCATTAACGAACGGATGTTTGAATGGGGTGATATTAACAAATGTCATTTATAAACTTTTAAAGGTTAAAAGCAGTGTACCAAGATAACTAGCCCTTCTTAGTGTAGAGTTGTTTGATCTGTTTTAAAGATCAATGGCATGCCACAGTAGGGTTTACAATGGTTAAAGGTGGACTGGTTTGCTAACTGATCGCAAGCTTGGTAACAACATCCCAAAAGTATAAGGATGGGTGCTCCACATTAGACAGTTCGTCACTCAAATACAACTTTGGGTTTTGTGTCATGGAATCTGGCTTTATTTTTGACAATCTGAAACTTGTCCAAATTTTAGAAACAATTCGGTTCCGAAAAGGTCTAAAGCTTCAGGATTTATAAGAGTACAGTGGAATTTTGTATTAGTCGAATAGGTTACTTAAAGTGCACGGAAATTAAGAAACACATTTGATTAGAAATAAGAAGTAGGCACGATTTCCATTTAAAAGTGCAAAATATATATAAAAAGATAAAGTACAAGTACTTGCTTTACTCATGGTAAAATATATAAGTAATTAGGGTTGTCATTAGGGTAAAATGAAAACTTTTTAATCCATTTTCGACAGAACAAGTTGTTATTTAATCCATATTCAATTCATATATACATGATATCTTAGCATGCTTTCAACTTAATAGCATATATATAGATATATATGATTTGCCTATACATTATTGCCCACAATCTAATGATGGTTAAAGACTTGTTTCCTTATTTTTACATGATAATTCACCAATTAAGCAAACTATTTGATTAATTGGTGAAATATCATGTATTTTTAATCATATAATTTAGTTCTTATTGCATAATATAATGAAGAGTTTTAACCACTCATAAATGTATATGTATAAGTCTGGATAAACAAACACAGACGTTTTGACCTTTCTTGATCGGCCACTCATTGGAATTCTATTGTTAATTCTTTTTTAATTTAGACATGTGAGAAAAACTGGTATTTTACCAAGTCATTAGAACACCTCTACTTTCTTTTCATATAAGTATTAGCATTTTCGTTTCCTTACACGAGGGAACCCATCTTTAAGTTTACTTTGTGCCCTATTTATCTATTTATGCCATTAAAGATCTAATTATGATCGGAAGATATATTTGTCATATACTGGCCCATCATAATTTAATACCATAAAGATAATGAAAATAGCTTATAATACAAGGGAACAAATTCTTGCCTCATCAATTTCGATATGAAAATCAACTGAAGTAACTCAGAATTCAGACCCTTTATCCCAATTCCTCAATACAGTATCTGTTCCACCCTAGGCCTGTGCATTTGGGAGAAT